GCAAGAGGGAGAGGAGCAGACAGCTAGGCGTCCTCGTGCGGCACCTGGCCTCGCGCCCGACGCACGGCACACCCCCTAACTCTCACGAGCCCACGCGCTGGGCCTCGTTGCTGCCCCTCGGTGGATGAGGAGTTAGGCCTCGGAAGCGCTTCCGAGTGTCCCCCACGCCCAGCGCAGATGGGCGCTGGGTGCCCGGGAGCAGGATGCTCCTCCCCTGTCTGGGCGCCCCTCCCCTTCCTGGCAGGACCAAGGGGAGGGACCCGCCCCACAAACAGCCTCGAGAAGCCCATGCTCAGCAGACACCGGAACCCCTGCCCCAGACCCCAGGCCGGCCTGACCTTGCCAGGGGAATCGGCGGAGGAGGCTGCGGGGAGCACGGAGCAGGGCCTGGCGTTTGAGAACACCAGGGGGACGCTCAGCGACAGGGGGGGTGTGGGCAGGACAACTAGGTCAGCACCAGAGGGCTGCGGGCGAGACCCAGTTACGACGCATGCTGTGAAGGGAGCGTGCGGGCCCCAGGGAAGGTCGCAGTCACCACGGCCACTCGGCTCGCCCTGGCCTGTGTCCCAGCTCCCTCTAGAGCACCGATCCTGAACGGTCCGTGGCTACCCAGGGCCCCCGCTCCGCGGGGCTGGGGAGGGCGAGGAGGGGAAGGGGGTGTGGGGCCCGTCCTGCTGCCCCCCCAAGAGCTGGGGCTGGGGAGGGCGAGGAGGGGAAGGGGGTGTGGGGCCCGTCCTGCTGCCCCCCCAAGAGCTGGGGCTGGGGAGGGCGAGGAGGGGAAGGGGGTGTGGGGCCCGTCCTGCTGCCCCCCGAGAGCTGGGGCTGGGGAGCCGCCAGGTCCCTGTGCCCTTCGTGCCCTGACCCCTCTGCTCTTGCTCCCGGGAGCTCACAGCTCAAGCAACTCACCGATGCCAGGGCATCGCCCCCTTGTCCTGCCCTCTCTCACCCCGGGACCGGCCCCTGCTCCCCCGACAGTCCCGGATGGCCCCTCGGCCTGCTAAGTGACGTCCTCTCTTCGCTCCTATGTCCCAGATGTCTCCTTTCCAGCTTTGCAGCCCAAGCCCCTCCTCCAGCCCCAAATCTCGCCCATGCCTCCCCTGTTCCCAGGCCCCACGGCTCCGGGAAACACCCAAGGGATGTCCTCCTGCCTTGGGGCCAAGCAGTCACATTTGATAAATATCTGTACAGTCTGAATTATTTCTCATGGACATGTATTTTTTGTTTGTGGTTTTTTGTAAAAAAAAAGTTATTAAGTATAAAGTGATAACAGAAATTGCACCGTCACAGTTTCTAAAGGAGAGAGCGCAGAGACCCAGGTGGGAGGTAGAAGCCCTTCGCTGTCAGATGTAAACCTCAGCGTGGCCTGGGGACCATCTGAGCCTCACAGGCTCATGCCTGCTGGGGCTAATGAACCTGGCTTGATCCCAGGCCCCCACACACCCCACCCCCACCTGACTGGCCAGCACCACAATCTCCCACCACGAGGCAGTGGGCCCCCCTCGACTTCCAGCCCACATTCAGTCCTGTCTTTAACCCGAGATAGGGTGCAGCTGCTGGAGGAGGGAGGGACATGGGGTGCAGCCCTCAGAGAGGTCACCCTCTTGCCCGCTTCACCTTGGTTACTGTGCTCATTCTGGGGGCACCTTCCCCAACCCCCTCCCGTGCCACCCTGTCTGGAGGCACATTGCCTATGCCCCCCACTCTGTCTGCAGCTCAGCAAACAAGAGATTCTGACCCAGAAATGGAGCTGCGAGGGGGCCCTCTCCTCCCTCGCGCTCGCTGGCCGGGGTGCTGCAGGTGGACACGCCACGGGAACCCTCCCTCCTGCGTGGCCCTCTGCGGAGGGGCTCCAGGCTCACCGTGCTGAGCACCGTCACAACCACACAGAGAAGCTGCACCGACACAGGAGTCCCGGAGGTCACGGGACCCGGGAGGCGGGAGCTGGGCTCAGCTCTGCGGACGGCGGCCGGGCAGGGCGGCCAGGCCCTTGCGGAGGTGGGGACCGAGGCGGGCGGGTGGGGCTGAGGGCTGAGCGGGTGGCGAGGACGAGACGGGGCCTTCCTCCGTGGGTCACGGTCCCTGCACGCCACGGTCGGCCCGACGGGCAGTGCCACCGAGACGCCGTCAGGGGCCAGGCGCCCTCGGCCCTTCCTCTCTTGCGTCTTCACAGCAGGCGCCCGTGCGTGTGTCGTTGCTGCCGAATTCCACGTGCGCTCGCTGGCCGCTGGCCGGGGCGAGGACCCGCAGCTGCCGGGACTCAAAGCCAGGCCCGCCGGGCGGGGAGGGGGCAGGGCCGGGCCTTAACCACAGCTCTGCATCAGGTGGGGCGTTTCTTCGATGCGCTTCCCAGCACACACGTGTGTGCACGCGCACACAGCCACACCTCACGCGCCTCCTTAGTCAAGGACCCTCCTTCGTTTCTGAACCCCTCCCCACCAGGGCGAGGCCACCTCCAGCGATGGAGTTGGTAACAGCTGACACTTCTCCACCAGGCTGGGCTGTCGGTTGCAAACAGCAAAATCTAACTGGGGTCAATTTAAGCAGAAAAGGAAGTTGTGGGTAGGGTGTTGGTGACCTCACAGAAGACTTGGGAGCCAGGAGAGCAAACACGCAGAAGGCTGGGCACGGGCCACGGCCACCATGGGATCAGGAGAGGCCGCCGGCCGCTGGGTTTCGCTGGCGTAACCGACGGCCCCGAGGTGGCAGTCGTGTCAAACAACAGGTTTCGCTTCTGGCTCCCTCCCAAGACACGTCCCCCACAGGTCAGCAGAAGCCTCCCTTCGCCGTGGTCACTCGGCCCC